GTGCAGGGGGCGTGGTCACCTTCGGTGTCTATCAAAGTCGGCATGTCTGATTGTCTACCGGTCGCCGTTCCGTCATCCAACTACCACACCCATCCATATCACCCTGCATCAGCATCAATGATCTCGTGGAGGCGTACACCCACATCTCCCGACTCTTTATGCCTTCCGTCAACGGATTCATGGCCTTTCCACCCCCTTGGCGAGACGACATCATATCGTGCATCGAGTCAACTTGCTGGGAAGAAATAGCACGACAGGTCATCGATCTCCCTGCTCGGGCATGCTATTAGCTTGCATCGTCCCCCTCTGAATATTCATTGCCGTCCTACCTATTCACACCTACGGTCCCATACGACTTTCAGCGCCCGCCGCGCTCACGTTGCCAAAGCCGCTACTCTCCGCATCGACTACAGACCCCACAGCTTCTCCCCCTTCACCTGAACGACCCGTCTTGAGTGACCTGCGTGCCTTCACTAATGCGTGTTCGGCGTCTGTTTTTCAATCTCATCTTTCTCGCAGTCCAGTTCCTGAAGTCATTATTGGGAGTACCGATCTCGCTGCTTCAAGACAATAGTGCGGTGGAGCAACGTAAATTGCCCAATTATTTTCTAAGAAGGAAATTGACACACCCAGCACATATCTTATCGAATTCAATCTTATAGGCCCGTTGCCACCTTCTGCTACTTCCCTGGACTGCGCCATACTCCTCTCCTCTCTCATATCGCCACATGCCTTTTATTCCCTGCACGCTGCACTCTTTTTGATTTGGCCACATTTCCCTACGACCACTGGATTGCAATCGTTCTACATAGCGCAGTCATATTGTAGTAAACCAGATTCTTTACCTGCTCGCCTGGTTACCCCACGTTTCCGGAGTGCAAGTGCCTCTACATCCATCCTCTGTATCGATCCAATAAAGCCGGCCCAGTCATTATCACGTGAGCAGATCAACGGTTATGCGGGCCGCCAGGCTGGCATCTAATGGGACATCTCGCCCTTGTGCATCGCGAGCTCTGCCTCGGGCGAGCGGATCAACAGCCTGGAAACCGGAAAACCTTTCGGATGCAGAAGCGAAACACGCGAAGGCACGAGGGAAGAAGGCGGTGGACCATAAAGGGAGGCGCCAACCTCTGCTTGACTGGGACACCCATCAACCACTAGCCCGAGGGCGCAGTCACAGAGCAGCGAACTCAGCCAGCCACCCTGAACATGGAGCCAAGTGCCCAAAACGTATGGATCTCTGTCACTTCCCATTGGCAAGGGCTTACGATGTTGATTCACAGGCTGACAACACAAACGCCCCTGAAGATGCCGGTCCCTCGTGGTTAGCCACGGCCAGCGACCAAGAGCAGGTTACGGTGCCACCGACCAAGGCGGTACGCGTACCCAAAGAAAATGTCGTACATGGCAAGCCTAAAGGCGGCATGGCCTGCTACCAATGTAAGGAACGTCATTTGGCCTGCAAAACATCCGACGCCGATGGCGAAGTTTGCGAGTAAGGGTATAGCCTTTTCTGTACGATCTCTCACATCTGACAACACCCCGGACATAGCCGCTGCAAGGGCAAGCCCTGGACGTGTGTCAAGCCCCTCAAGACCTTTCAGGGCTTACGGACGGATCGTAGGGGCTTCGCACCGGGTAAAACGCCTAGCATGAAGTATCGTGCCGACACCCTGAAGCAGAACAATGGTCCCAGCAGCAAGGCGCACGATCCCAAGGAGCGCAAACCACGCAAGAAAACACGCGTGACTTAACTGGTGATCCTGTTCGTATCTGCTTCCACTCATGTCCACCAATTACATTGTACGTCCACTTGCCCTGGCCCTTCGCACCCATTCTCCCAACCTCGAGCGTCACAAACTACTCATCTGAAGGTATGAACACATCCTGGCACATCGATGATTTTGCTATCGGGAACGCTGGGCAAATGGAGGCCCTCGAAGCGCCCACACATCCATCGTCGCCTTTCTTTAGGCGTCGACAACTGAGAACCGCTTCGTCCCGAGAGCAAGCGACGGCTAGAGCATGCCTGCGAGATGATACAGATGGCGTGAGATAAGTCTTCGACACGGTACGCTTCTTCTCCTCACCTGCATCAACACATGTGTGAGCAACCGCCAGCTATCTCTTGCATGTCCTCGTTCGCCGAATAGTCCAGTCACCGCCCGGCATCTGCACATCGACTACCTGTGCCTTGATGATGTGTCAACGACCACGGCAGGACCATGTACTGGCGCAAGGTGCATTACATGGCAGGGAAAGTCCGGTTGCAAGATGCGGACAACGACTCAAGTCGCCCAGGAGCTCCTGTTACACAACCTGCACACGAGGGTTGTCAGCTCTGTCAACACCGAGGATGGGATCACAATAATAGTCGAACTCACTCCGAGGATACGCACGTTGATAGCTGAGCGCGTTTGGTGGTCCTGCGCGTTGGGATGTCTCTGCTCGGTCACACATGCACGGGTGGTGCCCTACGAACAGTTGCGCTACACACCGTTGACAGATTCCCCTCTCCCATCTCCCTGATTCCATGTCCGCATCGGCCTCTCTTCTTTGTATCTCCCACCTCAGGCACCTCCTTGTAGCTAGACCACGTTGTAGACGATGTGAACGCGCACATGACACGGTTGGAGGGCACCCTGCACGATGTCCGCCTAAGAAGGCACGGAAAGGAACCGCAATGGTGACTGGGCGAATGACATGAAAGAGTGATATAGTCTGGGAGGTCGTGCAAGCTTGCAGTTCCGTTGCAGCGGCAGTTCCGATCGACAGCGAAAACGGGAATGAAGGCGGTAAGAAGCGAGATTCGTGAGACCAACTTCATCACGTACTAACTTGCCCGGCAAAATACACGAAAACATCCCCGTCACCACCGTCACAATGACACACACCGACGGATGCCTCGCTACTGCTTCATACTTCCTGCGCGGCAGTGTAATGGGATTGAGCAACACCCTTCTGCTGCAGTACAGGTCACATAGTTCTCCTTGACCTTTGCTCTGCTTGCCGAACCGAGCGTACCTCTCCCACAACATGAGCTGATCCTCGTCCCCTCCCACTCATAGTAAACACCGTTGAACGCGATGTTGCATTGTGCGCGTACAGAGTAAGAGACACATGTACAGTCACAGCCATCACCACTATGTGCCGTAACCTGACAGTAAACACTCGCGTACATTCCAAAGTCATGCATTCCTAAAAGCTATGTACTATACAACCTGATTCGCCCGCCCAGTACATCACGGCCGCCATATCCCTTCGCATGAAATCTCACATGAGTGATCCTCCTCTCTACGTCTCCGGCGGTTGTGGCTCTTCGCCATCTGCTGCTATGATTCCTCAGATATGACGGTACAATTAAGTGACAGGGGCGCATCAAATGTGATGGACTTCATGTACCTTGCTGTGCTGAAACCTGGTGTGCGTATCGAAACAATAGTTCCGTGGCGCGAGATGTCCCAGCGTTTTTACTGGCGCCCATCGTCACGCCCCGTTGTCGTAGTTGCTGAGCTAGATAATATGCGTCAGATCACGAGACGACTTGCCGTGGGCCCGGTGTAGACAGGCTCACCGTCAACTTCCAACGATTGCCCAATCTGCTGGCCTTCACTTGTCGAGGCGAGGTTCCTAGTACCTGTGTTCACTAAGATCAGCTACTACTTTGTGTTCGCTCACAACGCCAGGGTTCGGGGGGTCCGAAGGCAAGCTCACGCAGCCACCACTGGACTATTGACAATAACGTCGATGGTGCATACCTTCCCCATGTGCATGTAGACCATCAAGTCCACGCAGGTCGTGAAGAGAGTGATCAGATCGAGCCTCTCGGCGTCCACCTGAGCCATAAGCATGTCGGTAACGTCGACCCAATCAAGACGCTGACTCAGTCCACGCACCTACACGAGAGCTCGACGTGCTCACACCACCTGCGAACACTTGAGCACCTTGTCCCTTCGTACGCCACGCGCTCTGAAGTCGAGAATCGGCGGCAGTCTGCTTCTCCTTCGCCTGCTTGGCTTGCGCCACAATCTGCAGGATCCTGTTGCGATCAGGGCTTGCGCCACCTCGCCGCAGAGACGCTACAGATTCAAATACGTCGGCATATATCGAGAACAAGTTCTGGCGACTGACCCTTGACCTTCTTCGGCGTTATAGGCATAGGTCCCGTCCCGCGCGTCGCCGGCTGAGCTGTCGGGATCACGATTTTCATCGTGTTGGGAATAACTGTGCCAAGAACATTCGTCAACGAAGCGCTTGGACCAATCCATACTCACCTTGCGCATCCAGATACTTCTTGATCTTGGTGCTTGGGTCGATGAGCGTTTGCTTGGAGCATTGGCGATACTCGCGCCGCTCCCGGAGCATATCGTCTGTAGGGCCTTCGACACCCCACGTTGTGGACTTGTCCCAACACGCGTTTATGTTAAGTTTGACGCGATCTAGACGTTTGTCGACAATTCGTCAGCTTACACAGATCGAGGCGGACATGTCCAGCCATACAGACCAGTGTCCTTCATATAAAAGCCACAAGATAATCCATCCTCACGTCGATGAGTGTCATCAAATATGTACCCCACGCATCGATGCGCGGAACCATCTTGTGTACGTGTTGCAGGCCATATATGATGACACCGTACTCCGTTGTCAGAGCCCTCTCCACCTCTAGCGGGAAGACTAGGGTCAATCCTGGCGCACACTTGTCTACTCGGCGTGGGCCCAACAGATATGGATTGCAAATAAAGAAGTAGGGATGCAGATGACATTCAGATGCACTATAGTAGGGACAGATGGACGTATTGAACAAGGAACGCACGGATCGTTGCAATCTCGCGGCCAAGTGATATCTTGGGCGCTTGCCGCAACGTGTACATCTTCTGACCCACTTCCTACCTAACCTCGCCGACAGACTTGCCCGGCCTCGGTCTACCCTTGTACTCTTCCACAATATCTGTGCTGAATGCATCAGTGCCGCGGCCTCTGTAGGGCGTGATGAGTAAACGCACCTGTACTACCCTCGCCTGCCAACAGTCCTACCACTTGTACCCTCCGACACATTGTCCTCTGATTCTGCTGCCCTGTGACATGGACAGTGCAAACGGGATGGGCGAGAAAATGTTGGAACACTGGCCCACAAGTACGATGATCCAAGCTGCAGCGAGAAGACGTGGTGGTGGAAGTAGACAAGCCAGAACCGCGTCGCGCGAACCGCTGGCCTTACTCCCACCCAGCTATGCACGACACGATGAAGACAGTATCGTCACACAAGTATGCCACTACAGTCTATCATGTCAGCTGAAACGATATCAGTCTCTGAATGTACACATGCTCACATTGCCGTTCTCCAGGCCTACTCAATGAAATTTCACGCCCTTACGACTGACGCACATCGGCGGTGAACTCTCCTCAGGTACACTATCACCAATCCCATTATGAGCACATCCTAATAAACAATGCCTGGGCGCACCTTGTATAGTGTCCGACAGGACGGCGTGAACGTAGAATGGCTCGTCCTGTTCACGTTGTCGTCCGATGATCTACCACATAGACCGTGATCATAAATATCATCTTTACTCATCAATAAGTACTGGCTCATATCGATCGGCTCGTGTAAGTCGTAGGATAGTGAATGTCAAGTCAACATCGGAGGGACCAGCGCGAACGGCCAACATCGACGTCCAACGTCAACGGGCGCGACGCGCGCGACCGTGGGAGACCATTTCCTTTTTTCACGAGCTGGATCCGCGCCAAAATTCAAGCCCATGCAGAAGGATAAATCAACGAGTCAGGGATGACTCGTAATTCCTTTGGCGTAGTCATCGATCATGGGCCCTGTTCGCATCTAGTCACCTATAGTACCGACGGAGCGTCGTCCGCAGTTGCGAGCCTCGTGGTATCATAACCTTAACCTATCCTGAACAGTTCCGCTCTCACGCAACTTCTCTCCAGTTCTCTCCCGACGACTGCCCCTCCACCACTTTCCCTTGCAGGGGCGCAACCCCGGCGTCTTTGTCCGCACACGTCTCCTAGCCAGTTTCTTCGCCGTAGTCCCAGTGAGTACTCCATTGAGACACATGGCGCATACGTTTACGTTCTAACGCTTACCCGCTAGCTTGCGAGTGGAGGCGGAGTCGTAGCCAACATATGTGATCCTGCTACGCGCGGACTGGTCACGACCGTCTTCAGCACCGTGATCTGATCTGGGCTTGTGCTGGGTACTGTCTTCGGTGGACTGTGTGTGCTTCGCTAAGCGTATCTGCCTATACCTGTGCTGACAATCATTCCCAGGTACCTAGGCTACCACTGGGTGTTTGGCGCCATCGCGATCTTTGTCGGTTGCTCGACGCTCCTTGCCATCTTCGTGTTGCCAGAGACACACGCGTCGACATTGGATGTGCAGAAGGTACGTGGCCCCGATGTACGAGACTCGTGCATACGTTGACACAAGCAATCCAGGCGCACCATCTACGCAACCTCCTCTTAACACGGTACGGCAGCGAGTACGCAGCAACAGCTCACACTGCTTGCCCTCCTGGAGCGAACCCTCCGCGTCTATTCACAATGCTCGTCCGCGAGCCTACCCTCCTGCTCATGACGCTCCACGTCAGTCTGATCTACGGATGCTTGTTCGCACTCTCAAGCCCTTCCCGATCATCTTCCCGATGACGCGCGACTTCACCGTCACCCAAACCGGGCTCGTCTTCCTTTTCGTCGGTTTCGGTGCTCTACTGGTTGTAATCATCAGCTTCTGGTAGCTGCGCGGATAAGTCAAGCTCTTGGCTCAGTGGAGGGGTACCGAGCGGAGGCTCCTGCGCGCGATGATCACTGGTCTGAGCTTCGTCATCGCCTTGAATGATCGGGCCAATCTGCTTCGGTGCCATTTTGGGTACCTGGTCGGAGCACGGTGCCCACGGCTTCGCGGTGTCGCTAGTCTTCAACTCGTTCATGGTGAGTCTCCGCTTTCTGGGGCATCAGGGCTCCGACTGATCAATCATACTAGGGATACCTCGTCGATACATATCTTCGACACACGGCTTCGGCCTTCGCGGCGCTTACCACCATCCGTTCTCTTGTGGGCGCAGTGTATGTACTCCTCACGACGGAGGTACATATGTTCAATGTGTTCCCTGCATATCGACTCAGAAATGCCGATGGCGTTCTCTTAGTCTTCTTGGCTGTCGGTGTCGGCACTGCTTGCACCGTGATTGGTGCAGTCGGTATTCTATTGGCGCCTCTTCCCTTCGTCTCCTTGGCTCGCGCGTGCGCGCCCGTAGTCCATTCGCACCTGGTCAAGTAAGATTTACCTCGCACCGTCAAACTCTGCATATCCTGACATGCGTTATATAGGCTATCAAGCTCCAAACTATGCGCGCTGCGCAGAAGGACGTGACCAGTTCTGCGTAGATTGCTTTGGGATCTTTGGATTGGATTGTGAGCCTGGATGTCCTGAGGGCTCTTGACGTAGTAGATGGCGGGTCGTACTTCATATTTTAGAACAGCCACTGTCGCAAACTGCATGGAAGCTGAGGTTCTCGCATTCTACTGCACTATTACCCAACGCAGCACATTTCAACTGCCTCCACCTCGCCCCTCTATTGATCGCAGTGTCATGCGCCGGGGGGGGGGGGGG